TAAACAAAGATCCTTATTTTCTTTGTTTCTCATATAAAGTTGTCTCCTTAAGTACAATGAATAAATATTTTTTTTAAACCGTGAACTGAGGAGCGGGGAAGGGGGGGGGAGCAGTTTAGAGCTGTTGTACATAGGGTCGCTATGAGTCACAAGCAACTCGACGGCACATAACAACAACAACATGTACATTTAGGCACTTAGTAATAAGACAATATTAATAGTAAGGATTTAAAAATGAATGATGGTCTTATACCTGCTTTCAGAGAGTGTTCATTACCTGAAATGAATTCAGGGAGGCTTCCATGATGGAACCAAATTCTTGCAATGCAATATTATTGTTTCTTGGTAAAACATACCTTTTTTTTTTTTTTGCGCAATTTTCAGGTCATTTAAAAATGTCTTTTAAATTACAGATTTGAGGAAGAATATATAATCACCTGAAATCAGAGCTGGTGAGGAAACTCTTCTTTAGCTCCAAAAATGTTGGAGGAAGATATGGAAGTGGCTATCAAGATGGTGGTCGTAGGGAACGGAGCAGTTGGAAAATCAAGCATGATCCAGAGATACTGCAAAGGCATTTTCACAAAAGACTATAAGAAAACTATTGGAGTTGATTTTTTGGAGCGACAAATCCAGTATGTACTTGACCATTTTATCCTCTTGGTTTTGATTTGTGAACTCTGTCCATGACTTTCACTTGAATAATATTAATAAAATCCAGTCCAACACTGTGAAGTTAGGACAATCCTTATAAGACAGTTGGTGATGATTTTCATAGTTATTATTGTTTTTACCTTTCCCTTGTCTTCCATCTCTCCTTTCCTTCTATTTTCCTTTTACTTCCCAACTCTTCTTTTTTATCCCTCTTTAACATTTGTTTTGTATTTGTTGGTTATATCTTGAACACAAACTTAAATGTGAACTTGACTCTAGTGATATTTCCCATCCTTATTTCATTTGGAAGAAAGTATATCAATCTCTCAGAACTTTTAATCTCATATATTAAGCGATACTTTTGTTTAGACTTGCTCTCTCTGGCAGCATAGTCCATAATGTGTTGCATTGTTAACTAAAATTATAAGGAAATGTGTGTGAGATAGATATATATATATATATAGGAAACATTAAAGAAAACGGTCTTACTTGCTTAAATAGTAGTGTCAAAGATAATTATATTCATTGAAAAACAGTTGATTTTCTAATTTGCATAACTGGCATGCATCTGGGCTGCTTGTGCCCCCCAAGAGTATCGATCCTACCATGGACTGTTAAGAGAACAAATACTGTCCTAGAGAGGGTGGAACCAGTTTGCTCGTTGGAGACAAGGATTTTGAAACTCCTTCTCACGTTCTTTGGCTATGTCACCAGGAGGAACCAGTCTTTGGAGAAGGACATTAGACTTGGAGGGGTAGAGGGTCAGGTTAGAAGAGGAAGACCTTGGATGAAATGGATTGACACAGTAACTGTGGCAGTGGGAGTAAGGTGTGTCGGAGATGGTGAGGTTGGCTCAGGCTAGGGCAAGGGTCAGGGCTGTTGTTCATAGGGTCACTATGGGTTATAGTCAACTCGAGGCACGTAACAACAATAGCATCCTGTTACTTTCCTTTTTTTGTTTTTACTCTTTTAAAAAATACTTTTGTATTTGTTTTCTTCTTTAAAGCATATTATCAATTTTGATGGTGCTTTTTTAACACTTGTTTCCTGAAGCCAAATTAAATGTTTGAATATTTGAATTAAAGGTCAGATAAACAGATGATTAGTTATTCTATTACTGAGTACACCAAAACACATTAATAGGAGATGAGAAGACCCCAAGCCCTGACCTAAGGAAATCCCTTTTTTCTAATAGTGTTGATTATAAAGTTACTATCTGTGACTTCTATCAGAGAACCAATATGCAGGTAAATCTAATTCATTTGTCAAGTTACAGCTTTGTCTTTCATCTTTTAAGTTCCCAGTATTTGAAAGAACTTAAGACTTTTTCCAAGTGAAACCAACAATGAAATTTTAATACCTTATAATTTGAAAAATAGAAACATATCCAAAACTGTATTACTGAAAACATTTTTGTTTACTTTTGAATTAAAGTCATCTCTTGTTTCAGGGTTAATGATGAGGATGTCAGACTAATGTTGTGGGATACAGCAGGTCAAGAAGAATTTGATGCAATAACAAAGGCCTACTATCGAGGTAAACTTTGGAATTTATTTTTGTTAGTCATTTTCTTTTGGTAAACAAAGATCCTTATTTTCTTTGTTTCTCATATAAAGTTGTCTCCTTAAGTACGATGAATAAATATTTTTTTTAAACCGTGAACTGAGGGGCGGGGAAGAGGGGGGCAGTAAAAATGTGCAACAATGAATGAATGAAAACCTTAACTTTTCTGTAAACTTTCGTTAAAATCACAAATTTTATTTAAGAAAAAGGAAAGTTAAAATAACTTTAAAGTAATTTTTAGAACTTTTAGTTGTTTTAAATATCTTGTTGAATGGCAGATAATACTTTGTACTAGGGATAATAGAAAGAGAATTGATGCCTTTGAGCTGTGGTGCTGGAGAAGAATATTGAATAAAACATGGACTGCTAGGAGAGCAAACAGGTTCATCCTAGAGAGGGTGTTCCTTGGAGACAAAGATTCTGAAGCTTCATCTGACATCCTTTGGGCATGTTGCAAGGCGGGACCAGTCTTTGGAGAGGGACATCATGCTTGGAAGGGTGGAGGGACAGCACACAAGAGAAAAACTTGGGGTGAAGTAGATTGATTCAGTGACTGGGATAATGGGGGGTAAATGTGTCAGAGACAATAAGGTTGGCTCAGGAGCAGGGTTCAGAGCTACTGTGCATACGGTCACTATGAGTCGCCACTTGACAGCACATAACAACAACTGTAACAGCTTATCTCTGCCTTAAAATTACATCACTCATATAGACATCTCTACGTAGAACCAGTTGAAATCTTCTGAATGCCTACCCTGATCACAGGTTTTCCCCAATGAAGTTAATATTAGGAAGTAAAAACTAGCATATGAAAAGATAAAGCCCCTGCAGATAACAGTATCCTGTCTTATGCCACATGATACTCCATTTGTGAAGCACTTACAGAAGTTAGATAACAAAAGAGGTAAGAGGAAAGAACCATTAAAGATTTAAGGCTCTAATATATGTATTTAAATTCTCCAATAAAAACTTGAATTGCCAAATGGAATTTAAATTTTCCTTTAATAATGTCACTTAATCTTGGGAAAATGGAAAAAAAAAATAATGTCCAGTGTAATTTTTTGCTTATCTTTTGGAGTTTAAAGTATGATTTTTAGTTTTTCTTCTTCTCACTGCCAGAGGTAGTTGTAATATAGCTTTGTAGCCTCCTGATTCCAAGTAAATATTAACTAATAATTTGTACTGGAAAGTATTTGGTACTCTATTACTCAGATGCTGCAGAAATGAACAATAGAAACATGAGTTATCACTTCTGTGACATCCACTCCTCAGAATACCTAATAAAATGGATTGACACAGTGACTACCACAGTGGACTTGAGTATGATAGATACAAGGAGGATGGGGTAGATAGAATAGGGCACAGTTCTGATCTGTTGTTCTCAGGGTTGCTATGAATCATAATTGACTTGATGACACCTAACAACAACAACCAACATGTCACCTCCTCCATTTGCCATAGTCCACCATTTTTCTTTATGTCTTCTTTATTGACATGAATAATTTGCCTTACACTCTTTCATCTTAAAAAAGAAGTCTTCCTTCCCTTGACACCCATGTATTGCTCTATTGCTCTGCCTCCTTTCATAGCAAAACTGAAGAGTTTCTTATACTTGCTGTTTCCACTGTCATACCTAATCCTCTCTTAGAACTGTTCCCTAACACTTCATTGAAACTCTTTTTTTTTTGAGTTGTCAAGGATTTAATTTACTTGTATCTACAAACAACAGTCAGAGAAGCAGCAGCCAAGACATCAAATGACATAATTCATCATGCGGATCTACTATAAAAGGCCTTTTTTTGAAAGATACTGAGAATTATGTGGCTTGATCTTCTACCTAAGTCATGGGTTTTGTTGGGGTTTTTTTAATTTTAATTGAGATTTTTAACAAAAGTTTATAGAGAACTTGGATTTCCATTCATTCATTTAAACCACTCTTAAAGTCAACAGTAATCTCCAGCTAGTCTGTTCATCATCTTACTCAGTTTATCAAACATTGGACACTGCAGTCTACTTTGCCTGTCTCAAGAAAGTTTGTTTTCTAGGCCAGTGCCCTCAAACTTCACTTTTACATGAATCAATTCGATATTGAATTGCAGCTCTGGTTTTTAGTAGGTTGGTATAGAACCCGAGACTCAGCCTTTCTCCCAGATTCCTAAGCAATGGTGGTGCTGCTCCATGGACCAGCCGGAGTCCGACCACCATGCCTCTTCTTGATCATAATCCTTCAGTAACTTGTGTTTTTGCCAGAGGAAGAAGTTTGGGCAATTCTAGCATGGCATCCACAGGATGCTGTGGTTGTGATTCTTCTTGTCCATGTAGCCTCATCTCCTCCTGATTCCTCCCTTGTGTTTTTACTCTGGACAAATTTCTAAATTAAGTCTCTTCTATATACACCACAGAATGTAAAATGTGTCCATACTATACCCCAAAACTCACTCACTCACTGTCATTGAATTGGTTCCAGCTCATTGGAACTTTCTGCCTTGTGTCTAAGGCTGTAAGTATTTATAGGAGAATGTCCGTCCTTCTCCTGAGAAGCAGCTAGTGGATTTATACTGCTGACCTCTTAGTTAGCAGTTCAGCACATTGCCATTATGCCATCAGGGCTCCCTTTGTTTGGAAACTACAAACACCTCAAATGTCTTCCTCCTGGATCAGCCTGTCAAACTTCTACTTTAAAATCCAACTTAACTAGGAAATCTTGGTTAAACCTTCTCCTCATGCCTCCATCCTGCAAAAAAGTTCATTAATTTTTTTTTTTTAGCAATTCCTGTATTTTTATTTTATTTATTATACACTATCTAGACCTCACCATCTCGCTGCTGCCAAGTTGATTCCAGCAGGTTTCTGAGTCTAAATCTCTCCTGGGCTCAATAATTCATTGCAGTGACCACAACAAACTGCTTATGTCTGTGGAGTTTATTAGGGAAAGAATAGATAATGACTCAAAATAAATTCTTTGGTTAGGACAGCTTCTTGGCCTTGTCCATAAGTAGGCCTCTGTTTGGTCCTTGGTCTCTTGATCTTCAGGCCTCTTGGTATGACGTGGCCTCTGCCCTGATCAGACAAGTGTTAGAATGTCTGGAGGCCCTCCATTGTGCCAGTAAGTCATGGCCTGAAGGTACTTAGCTCTGGAGTTTGTGAGTTAGTCATTAGCCTTCACTCTGCTTACAAGAACGCAGAGGGACCCCACTCTACCAAGAGGCCTCCTACTCAGCTCTACTCTACCTAGAGTACTGCTGTAGCCTCCAGCCCAAAGGTGCTTCAGCTCCCCACTCTGGGAGCCAGGGAGCTCACTGCACCATCTCCCGCCAGTGCCCTGCTTCTGCTGCCTCTCCTGCCGCCCTTCTCTGCCACTGCTTCTCTTTGTCTCTTGCTATCTCCAGTATGAGAGCCGCCTTCTTCATCTGTCTCTTAGGTCTCAGAAGTTCCTAGCTCAAGGACCACAGCTGTAAAGAGCTCACTTCCATCTCTTCTTACTGGAAGTGAGGGCCTCCTGTCCTACTCTGGAATGGCTTGTTTTAAGCCTAGTGGGATGGCAGAACTAACCAGTGGTCTCATGAATTCCATACACTTCATTTGTGTATTTGTTTAGAGTGGGGGGGGGGAAGAAACAGGCTTAAGCACAGCAAAAATTGTGAGAATGGACCAGCTTGTGCATAATTTTATTCTGTTGTTCATGTGGTCCCTGTGAATAATCAGAGCTGACTAAATAGCATCTAACAACAACCCAAAAAAGTACACTATATCTGCATTCTTGGCAAGCTGTCCAATCCCCTTGTAGCCTCCAAGCACCTCATTAACATTGTTCCACCCTGTCATTTGGTGCGAGTTACAAGAACATACAATTACTTTGTTTATAGTTCTGGGCCTAGACTACATTTTAGATCTTGATTATATAATATTGGGAACTCTTACTTCCCCAAAACTCTTCTTAGTGTCACTAGTGTTTTTATCTTACCATGAATTTCATCAGCGTTGACACTATTGATTAACAGACTCTTGAATATATAGTTGTATTTTAGTGAAACATTTTTTGTTTTATATCTTTGAAAGATTATTTTTAAAAGGAGTTATTGTACCTCCCCCTTGCATTTCTCTACATACAAGAAAAACAAAACACTAAAAGTAGTATACATGATTTTCGTTATCACTTAACTATGTTTATTTTTCATTCTCTTCATGGAATGGTATTCTTTTAGTTAGAAAGATTTTTAAGCTTTGGACAATCTGATCAGGCAGTATTATTTTTTAACCCAGGTGGTTATTTGTTGAGAATATTTTTACCTATAATTAATTTCAAAAGACAGAACTGTGAATCAACAATTATGTCAATTTTTTTTCTTTCAAGAAAGATTAAATGGGCCCAAAGTCAAAAATTACTTGATTTATAAATATATGAAAAGAAGAAAAACCTAGGTTGAAGTCGTACAGTTTATGTTTATCATTTGGTTTACGGATTTTCAAAAATGACCAAAAAACCCCAAGAAGCTAATAATATTTATATTTTCTACTCAAGTTGGCTCCACAATCAACTCTCTTGGTACCAGCAGCCAAGAAATTAAAAGTCTAATTGCACTGGCAAAGTCTGCTGTCAGAGACCTCTCCAAAGTACTGAAGAGCAATGATGTTAGTCTGTAAACTAAGGTGTGCCTGACCAGGCCATACTCTTTGCAGTTACTTGCTATGCATCAGAAAGCTGGACAGTGACTAGGAATGACAGAAGGAGAATTGATGCCTTTGAACTGTGGTGCTGGAGAACAGTATTGAATATACCATGGACTGCTAGGAGAACAGACAGGTTCATCCTAGAGAGGGTGAAACCAGGCTGCTCCTTGGAGGCAAGGATTCTGAAGCTTCATCTGACATACTTTGTTGCAAGGAGGGACCAGTCCTTGGAGAAGGACTTCAAGAGAGGAAGACCCTTGATGAGATGGATTGATTCAGTGACTGGGTATTGGGGATAGATG